ATGTGTTGTAAGTGGGGAAATCACTCGGGAACAACCCATACTGGAGCGATCCCGCAACGCTTTGATTTCACACATTTGTAATTGAAATACGATATTTAAATACATTTTGTAAGACAATGTATTTCGTACAATTTATTTAAAATAAAGTATTTGAACTACTTTCTATTCAAATATTGTATTTAATATTTATTGTAGTTAAATACAAATTTATTTAAAATACAAACGTATCTGATGTTTTTATTTGAAATAAAATAGTGTAAATACTATATTGTAAATAAAAACAATATATTCTTTCGAACAATTTTTAATGATTGACATATTTTATTTGAAATAAAATATTTATTCAAGTATTTTATTTGAATTACTATTTTCAATATAATCATAAATAGAGTATTTAGTTAAGATATTTTATTGAAATAAAGTAATTAAATTTTTGGGTAACTTGAATTAAAGGTGAAATAAAGTATTTCAGAGTATTTCAACTCTGTCAAATACTGCCCGTCTAATTGGTTCCCAAAATAAAAAAGTATTCAAATTGGTTGTCGGGTAGTTCAAAAGCATAGAGTAATTATCAACGCATAGAAATGTAGAAACCATTAAAAAGAAATTACTTTAAACATCTGAAGAAAATAAATAATCATTGGCACTGTAATTATAGACAGAACCTTCTACAGCTGCTCCAAATTTTTTCGTCAGATAATAAGAAATAGCTGTCATGACAATATTTACACTCTACATTTTTCTTTTTACTTCCTGACAAATCTGCATGGTCGTAATTATAAATTGGAACTTTTGCGTTACAATTAAGGGTATCACTACCCTTACTGCAAACTTGAAGCTGATATGTATTTCACTTTCTGATGGCCAATTTTAATGGCTGAGAACCAATTTGCCTATACTTTTCAATCACCTTGAAACCAATTTAGCTATTCTTTCTAATGACTTGGAATGACTATTCTAAAAATGCTTTGAGAACCAATTTGACAACTTCAATCACGTCTGCTATACTCAAACTGACATGCGTTGCTACCGCACTATGTCTAAAGAATCGAGTTCATAAGAGACTTAGAAATGAAAATTTAGAAATTGGTAACGCGCTTTCCCAGCAAAAAAGAGATTCCCCTTTAGAATTTCTAGATCTATGTGTGGCCCAAGGGCACAAAGTGGCAGTTTCACTTTGTGTCCACGATAAGAATAGTAGTTTTCGTCGTATAAGTGCCATCGTCTCTGGGGCTATTTTGCAGCCCGATGGGCATAAGGTAGCCGTGGAGCGATGGCACTTTTTTATGTGGTGAATCCTACTTTTCCTACCGAGGGCACACCCAACCCTGAAAAACGATCGAGGTTGGAAATAGTAGTTTTCCTACGAGTTTGAAAAGTCTCTGTTTGCGAACCGAGAGGTTTGCGGCCCGAGCCGAAGGCGAGGTCCGTCACGAGGTTCGTAAAGGAGACTTTTCGAACGAGTTCCGGAAAACTGCTTTTTCGCCCGAGGAAGTACCAGCCTCCCAAAACCACCCGAGTGCGGAAAACTGTTTTTTTGCCCGAGGAAGTACCAGCCTCCCAAAACCACCCGAGGGCGGAAAAAGTATTTTACATGACTACTCGGACACAAAGTGGTTTTACGGGTGCAAAATTTAACTTCTTCGTCTATGATAATGACAAAATTTTTTCCAAAATTAAGTACTCTTATTTTTGAAATATTTGATGAAAACAAGATTTCATATTCAACTTGGTTTAATGGCGTAATTTTTAATTGCGATCTTTCTTCTCTTTAATTGAGAACTTCATTCTCAAAGTGAAAAAATAAAAGAGTCTTAGCTAACAAAAAAATAAAAAAAATGAACATTTCCATTTAAAATCATGTGACCAAGTAAACCACAAATGGATCAAGCCTAAGCCTCATGCTTACTGATGAATGATTTGTGGTTGAAATTTTAAAAAATCTTACGTTCATAACGACTTACCAATCAAATAAAAAATTACCTTGCTACGTATGGATGTTCCAAAGCTTCAACTGCTGTTAAACGATGGTTTGGATTAAAAACAATCAAATTTTGAACAAGATGCAATGCTTTTTCAGATGCACTAGGTAGAAGGTCCTCTAGCGTTTTATGCGGACTTGTTGGCGATTTTTCTAATAAGTTTGTACCATAACCAGCACTAACTGAAGCCAAATCTGAAACAGTTGTTATACAACACGAACATTAATGCAATTCTGTAATCCAAAATGAAATTTTTATCCTGTGTTCTGTTTTATGAAATAGTATGTGGTTTTAGATTACGGGGATTCGGCACTTTTTGTATAATAGATTCAACGAGGAAGGAGCTTCCAAAATAGGCATGTTGAAAAATGACCACTCTTTCAGTCGCTAACAATTTATTCGTATACAATGTGACAGGATATCAGCAATATCTTTACAAAAAATTACATAATGTATTTAAATATATCTATTTTCTTATTATCAAAATAAAAAAGTATGAGCACTTTTTCTTGGTGAGAAACGAAATTTCAAATGATTAGTACAGATAATCTAGCCGTTTTTTTGATAAAGGTATATGTTTAGAATCTTCAAAAACATAAATTTTCCATAATATAGCATTAAAGTACAGAATTTCATTATAGGGTACACCAAGTTTTGGATTACAATTTTAAGTCAAACAGCTTGGAAATGTAATTTTCCAAAAAATCGTGAAACCGTATGAAAAATTGAGTTCTGAATGACTCACATTCTTACGTATTTGATTATGCTCTATTATCTAACGTGTTTTGAGCAAAGAAGCCGAATGCTATGATAATTATAGTTATGTTCATGCACTGAAAAAAAATTACTTTAATTCAAAAAAATATTCACTTGAATAGTGCCAAAATAACATTAGATTTTCTCACTTTGAAATACAATTGTATTTAATCAAGGTATTTTAAATAATTAAGTAAAATACAAATGTATTTGATAAAAATTTTTTCAATTTATTTAATGAAATACATATAAATTTTCAATAATTCACTACAAATACAATTGTATTTAAAATTTTTATTTAAAATACTTCATCAATTAATTGTGTTTAAAATTGTTATTTGAAATACTTCATCAATTAATTGTATTTCAAATGTATTATTTGAATACTTGACTAAATACATTTGTATTTTATAAAGTAATTGAAATAATTGAGTCAAATACAAGTATAATTTTTCAACGTATTTGAATTGAAAACAGAGTTGTCCTCGACAAATTGCGTTACCATGAAATTCAAAGTTTACATTTTTTGTCTTATTCTGTGGCGATACCTAAACGTAATATAACATGTTTTAAAGCAAAATCAGCACTATCATATCATATCTATTAGTATCACTAAAACCCAACTATATAAAATTTTTGTTTAAGAACCTAAGGTGAATTCATAGCAAGATATATGTTGTGTGCGTGTGTGCGGTGTAGTTTTTCTGTTCTCGTCATACTCACAATCCTAAAATTAGCTCTTATGTAATATTGAAACACATACTTGTTTATGTACACATTAATGTTGGGTTTTAAGTCATGAGGATAAATATTTATAATTTCTTATTTTTATATTAAATTTTTGTTTTAAAATCATTATACATGGATATAGTTCTCACTGCTTACCGACTAAGCTCCAATGACAATGTGGCAACGTCGTGAGTTCATGCGGGCGCGCTATAATCTTCCAACCCCATTTAGGGGTAGTTTGGAACGTATTTTCAAACGGCTCCCATTTAAAAGCTATTCGCCCTAAAAAATTAATTCCAACGGGGTTCGCATCAGAAAAAATCGCTCTACACTCGGTTCTCGGGAAATGCCACCGTTACATATCATGCTATATAGAGTGTTTTTAAACGGAAAATTGAATAGAGCTACTTATAGTTTTAGAACTTTTGTGTTCTATAAAAAAAAAATTCTGGTAACTAGTGAGACATTAAAAAATCTCTATCAACCTCAGCGGTGGTACATACATACCTTATTAAAACTATATTAGGAGCCACCACGCATCTGCCAGGTGAATGTATTGTAAGTGGGAAATTAATCATTCGGGAACAACCCATACTGGTGGTGCGGTCCCGAAACGCTTTGGTTTTATACATTCGTATTTAAAATACAATATTTAAATACAGTTTGTAATACAATTGTATTTAATCAAGGTATTTCAAATAATTAAGTAAAATACAAATGTATTTAAGCATATCATTTCAAGTACTTCATTAAATACACGTTTATCTGAAACAATGTATTTCGTACAATTCATTTGAAATAAAATATTAATTACTTTCTATTATTCAAATATTGTATTTAATATTTATTGTATTTAAGTATAAATTCATTTAAGATACAAACATATTTGATGTTTTTATTTGAAATAAAATAGTTTAAATACTATATTATAAATAAAAATAATATATT